ATAATTACTGCAGCACGGCAAACAAAGTGCAGTTCTGGACACAATGAAGAGAGTCCTATTTACAGGGTTCAAGCTGTTTCTGAGGGATCCCATTGGTTTACAAGTGTTTTCACTGGTGCTTTCTGGTCGCAGTCGATCGCTTATTGAGTTTTCAATTTCAATCAGACACACAGGCTTTTAGTTTTTATGAGTTTGATTTACACAACCGGGTTGTCATTTGCAAACAAGTGTCTTGTAGAATTGAAAACGTTGTGTGTGGGAGTCAACGTGCTGATGGTTTACCGGCTCAATGGAAAAGTTATGAGAGGTTGCGCTCCAACTTCTTCAAAAACGTCTTTCTGTTGAACTGAAATGTATTGGCAGATGAATGTGAGAAAGGCGGTTGGGTGCATTGAGGTGGAGGTATGGCCGTGCGCTGAGGGCTCGGGTGTCATTTCCTGTCCTAATGGGATATCTGTTTACTCCGGGGAAAACAAATCACAGGGCCTAACAACGACAACACACACGTGTCGCTCCGCTTAAGGGTGGACCGGAGCTCTTTGTCCTGTGGACAGACACAGGGGCGGGGCAGCAACCAGGGGGGGACGAAACTCTGTATGACGCTCGTCTTTCCCTGGAATGGAGCTGTAGTGGTTTTCCATAACAAAACATTCTTTGTACGCCCTTCCCTTAAAAATAAAAAGAACTTGTTTCTCATGTTAAATCTAGTAGCAAACCTCGTTTTCACAACATCACACATAAATGATCTTTCTACAAAGAAAGATTCAGAGAGAGAGTATAACTATATGTTACTGTGCCCCCCATTGAGACACAGGGACAGAACTGCAGCCAAGCTGTTAGTGCGTCAGACAACAGTGTTTTGGCCGAGTGTGTTTTATACCGCAACGTACACCACTAAGAAAACAAAGGGACAGACAGACAGAGAGATATCGATATGGATAGATAGATATATATTTGAATAGATAGATAGATACATAGATATATGTTTGAATAGATAGATATATATGGATGGATACATTTTGATAAGATAGATATGGACTGATCCTTAAAAGAGAAATGCAAAACAACGTCCATCTGAACCCAATCTACCCAAATGTTGACAACGTATAAAGGAAATCGATCGTTTTGCTTTTCAAAAGCGGATGAACGCATCCGATAAAACTTCAACGCAGCATCGAGAAATCGCAGAGCTGCGCAAACACACACGCACAGACACGTACACACACACACACACACAGACACGTACACACACGCACACACACACGCACGCACGCATACGCACTTGTGAAAGGGACTACGGGCGCAGCGGCGATGCTGTCGCTGTCCGCGGTGCTGAAGCCTCCGCGCAGCCTCTCAGAAACACGGGAAACGCGCCTCGCTTTATCCGTGCATTTAATCCTTACGACAAACAACCACTTTAAGCCCGTAATATATTTAAGACGGAAGCTCACCTGCAAACACGGACACGGAAACGGCAGCAAAGTGCAACGCGTTAAGCGCATTAATCAGTGCAGCAACGCCGCGGGGACGTTTGCGCTGGTTTGGCCTTCAGATGTGAACGCACGAGCAAAGACATCAGCTTCAGGGACAAGACGAAGACAAACAGTCGCAGGAGGAAAACCTCCATAAGACAGCCACATCCCTGTGACACTATAAAGACACGTATTTTATGAATAATGTAAATAAGTGGACGTGGTCTCGACTGAATAGAGGAAAGCCAATCTGGTCAAACCTACCTCGTTAGATGTGTTCTGCTCCTCTTCTTCGTCTTCGTTTTATGTATTTGTTTCGACACAGGATGAAAATGTCCGTCCGTGCTGGCGCTCTTCTTAACGGGACTGTCCCCGCTGGAGGCGCACCGCCCCCCTTCACCCTCCCCGCCGACAAATCAAACACTTCCTGTTCACGTTTTACAAAATAATAAAAAGTTGTTTTGTTGTTATTAAAATGATTTATTAACGACAAAACAACTTTTTATTTTAGTATAGTTTTAAACATGAGCAGTAGATCAAAATACTTTTCAACTAATTAGAAAAAGCATCATTTAAACAACAGAAAACATTCTTCAATTGAAAAAAAAAAACAGTAGGTGATTATGTATGGAGGTAAATGTATTATATAATGTTGTTATTTTTATTATCATTCTTGTTACTGATGGTTATTGTATTAAATCAATTGGGTTGAATCAAATGAATGACTGATTCAATGAAAGTGTTTAGATCAGCTTGGAAACATTTATCCCTCCACGTTTGTGTCTATTGGACAGTTTGGTGGCTTTTACTTTGGTGGTTAAATCACCCAACTTCCGGCATCATTGTGTTAACTTTAATGCTGCTCACAAAATGGCCGCGCCCTCTGACGTCACACGCAGCGGATGGAGGAGAGAAGATTTTACACGCATCTATAAAACAATTTGTTTGTCCACTACATGTGAGACTGCCACAAACCCTGATAAAAATACAAATAACCTCAATAAAAACAGACAGACCGGGGGAATGATCAATAGACAAATAAATAATGTAAAGCAGGATTAGCACAACCCCACCCTCAAAAAAAACACAGAATAATAAAATATAGACCAAGATGCATAGATATAAATCAGCGTTTAGGGCGTGAATGATTAATATTAGGAATAGATGAAACCTGAAGTCCTGCACTCAAATTCATTATGAGCGACTGAGGCGCTTTCTTTTCTCCAGTTCATCTTCTTCACATCTCACTTCTATCCATTTATGAAGAGAATAACCCTGTGGGACTCTTCTAATGGCACGAGTTCTGCAGGTACCACCTGAGATACACTCATGTCTGCACATGCACGCACTAACACATGCAAACACACACACCACCATCCCTTTGTGGTTCTCATTTCCTGCATGGAGGCACTGCCCCGCTGATAGCTGATATTAAAATAATACTATGTCTTTCTCTTTCAATTCAAGTCATTTCTAAAACAGCTTCATTCAACGTTGACTAACCGCGGTTTCCGTAGGAGCAGTGATGATCTTAGACCTGTGACCTTAAAAGCATCACCTGATCCCACGTTACACTCAGCCTGCAGCGCGGCGATATAAAGCATGCTAATATTAGCTGTAGTAGTCATCCCGGTAGTGACACATGTGCACAGCTATGTAGATAATCCTCACGTTTGCAACCCAAAGTCCTTGACTTTACATAATAGAATACACCTCGGCCTAATGACACGTCAGGAGCCAAACTAAAGAAGGATGACGTGCTCTCTCGAGTGAGCCGAATGTGATGAATTATAGATTTAAACCACTGGGGGAAATAATTCCAAAACAGCCTTCGGGGCCTGAATCGCTGCATAGTTATGTCTTAAATAGGTTTTATTCAGAGTATTTTCTCACAGGTTGCAGGGACTGACGACATTTGTTTTTTTTGTTTTCCTTTTTGGAATGACATTTTAGCCAGACGGTTAACCATTTGTGTCCCGCACGACCTTTACTCCTGCAGCTGTGCTGAGTGGGCGGACATGGGACTCTTGGACGAAGCGGCCTGCTCTCTGGAGGTCAAAGGTCAGGGACGCATTGCCTTCATTAATACTGAGATTCCGGGTAGGTGGTGTCAGAGAGGTGCTGTCAGAGACGCGGAGAGCTGCGACACGATGCACGCTGACCTTTGACCGCCGAATGCTCACCGTTAATGCCTCTAAAAAAAAAAAAAAACAGCATTTTTTTAACAGCATGAGCGTCGGCTCGTATAAGGAACATCAAATCAACAGAGGAGCTGGAGATGGATCGACCGTCGTCTCCACAGGTCATTACCAGCCCGTCGAAGAAGCCATTACAGAGCTGCCTCCCACATTAATGATCCAATACTTCAATGATCTCACTCACTGTATTGCCATCGATTGATTGGAGCGTGACAGATCTCTCCCCTCTGCGGTTGTGCTTTCGAAATGACTCTCGAGTGCGAATGTATTCACAGCGCAGTGCATCTGGCGAGGGCGACGTTCATTTGAGCGCCCTGCCCTGGTTGTGAAAACCACTCTCTCTCTCTCTCTGAGATGAAATAAAAGCCTATTTTTCTTTTGTAAGCCCTTGATGGCACACACGGGGCTCAGCCAGAGGCAGGGATGTGGACAGGGAGCACAATCACAAGCGTTTGTTTTGTGTTCGGCAGAGAACAGGCCACCGAATGAAGGCTACTAACAGGTGTGTGTGGGGGGGGGGAGCAGGGGGGGGGGGCGGAAGATGTTCCAGGTTGAGCAATCGAATCAATTTCCGCAAACATCTCAGGCTAATTCAATCGGAAACAATTAACCTATCAAAAACACATGTAATGACATTTAATATTGCCTTTTCCTTTCTTTCCTGGGGGCTCAAGGAGGGCGCTTCAGAGGTGGGGTGACGCCCCATTGCGCTGTGCTGGCCAGCTGCCATGGCTTCTAATGAAGCGCGACGTGACGTTTCCCAGGCCGCGTTACGTCTCTACGGTCCATCAATTACACCCCCCTCAATACAGGATCCACTCAAGAGCTACACCCAGTTAGCTGCTTTCGTGCTCGTCAACTACACCAGACAGGCGATATTCTCAGTAGAGGAAAGGTTTTAATTCTGTTGTTTAATAGCCCACTCAGCAAAAACAGAAAGAGGACAATCTAAGCAATGGGAAAGGGGCTGTTGACCCCCGTAACGCCTACTGCGTTGGTAGTGCGTCCTGTCGCCGGGACGGGTTTTTCTGTCTGTTTCCCCACATTCAGGAGCGCCAAAGAGCTCGCTCGCCCTGACCAGCAACAACCACAAGTCAGTTACAGGCGTGTCGACCTCGTGAGGAGAGGCCGGGGGAATCATCTCTCAGGTGATTCACCTGGAGCAGCGCCACCCGAGAGACATCAAGCAATCAGTGGGCGCGATAAAGGCTCCCTGAGTGTGCGCTCGGTTCTAGATGTGAATTTTCCAAAGACCGGCACGGCAGTCAAGCAGGGTTTAACGTGCCAACATCCACTTGTTACACACAAAGAGAAGAACATTCACAGGAGGGTTGTTTAAATCCGTCAACGTTTACTGCCAAACGTAACACAATCAGAGAGAAATGATAAATTAGAACTGTCCAACACAAGGAACGTTAACACGCCAGCATCAGTTGAAGGTGAGAAGCACGAGGTGCTTCTGATGAGCAGCATCTCTGACCTCGAGCTACACGGACCTGCAGACGTTAAACCCGCTGCACTGCTTTGGCTTTGTGTTCATTCTGACACATTTAGGTTTATCTAAAGATAAAAAGCGAGTGAGACTGACACCGTAAACCTTTTCAACAAATATGTGAGACGGAACAGTGGGTCCTTTTACTACGAACAAATGAATAATCATTTCCTAAACAAGTCCCCTGCTGCTGGAATGACACAAGTGAAGCAAATACATACAAATATGACTTCACAATCAACGTCAACATCTGCTGCAACAAACCTTGCTGTGAAAAAAGACGGAATTGGTCAAAATGGAACCGCATTGTTCTTACAAAGAGCCGTGTTGTTAGCAGTGAGTTCAGGTCAGATACTGAGAGTTTACTGTTCACACACGGTAGTTATTATGTAGAACACACACACACACACACACACACACACACAACTACTGTCCTCCCAGTTGGTTGGATTCGGGAACATCACGTGGGTTAGAGGCTCGAACTTGAACACGCCACCGGACGGCCGTCTCCGACCGCACGTCTTCTCACAGTTTCCTCCTCGTACGAAGCTCCTCGTCCCTCGAGACCGCAAGCCGTCACCCGCCGGCTTCCTGACAGCGTTCGGGCGGCTCCTCGGCAAAAGTGGGCCGAGGAAAGGAAACGCCGTCATCCCTGGAGGTCAAAGGTCCGGAGGCAGCGACTGGAGCAGCAGTAGGCCACGAAACTCACCGTTGTCCTTCCAAAAGGAGAGGGGGGGAAAAAACTGTGAGAACGACTCCACTCAGACAGAAAACAGGGGCCGGGGGCTGTTGTGTCTCTGTAGGCAACATGAAAGGGAACAGAGGGCGCGTTTGTTCTCACCTGCGGTGCACGCCTGCCAGTGCCGTGTCACGGAGGGGGAAGAGTTTGGGGTAGATGATGGTGAACATGGTTTGGCTGCAGCGGTGACAGTGTCCCAGGGGGAAGTGCAGCAGGTGCAGCAGGCTCTGGGGGAGGGCGATGGGAGGCGGTAAATTAACGTCTAAAAAGAAAAAAAAAGAAGAACAATACATTAGTACAGGAGGCTCTTAGGTTTTACGGCTCATTTCACGAGATCATCACGTGACGACCGCTCTGGCTGCAAATTACTCACAATAACGATATTATTGCCACATCTATGGACGGTCATTTAAAAGAAATACTGAGGTGCAAATACATTTGTTTTCCTTCTTCTGCTTGTTTTGACAAAAGAAAGGTGGAGAATAATCTCACTCATGAACAGCGTCAACCAGATGAACTGATGAACCGAACCCCGTCATCAGAGGTTTGCCGGATCTGATCTGATCTGATTCCTGCTCCCAGACACGGACAGCTGGTCCGACGGTCCGTTCGTTGCTCCTCACCTTTGGGCCGGCGGTGGTCGAGGCGGTGCAGGGCTCTCATGGCGATCTCCTCCAGGGGCACCACGCTGTCCGCCTCCGAGCCCACCACCTTCACCTCGGCTGGCAGCCCGACCAGAGCCTCGCTCAGCGCATCGCCCGCCGACCCCCCGACGTCGCCGCCCGACCCGGGGGCTGACACGCCGCACCTGCGCGGGAGCAAGACGCAGCGGTTTTCTCTGTTGGTGATCTCCCGTGCAACAGTGTGTCAATGCATTTTTTTCCATCACGTTTCTTTACCCGTATTCCAAAACCTAAGTAATGTAAACTGATGACAGAGTGAAGCGGAACTGATCCGAGTCACACCAAATCCCAAACGTTGATAAGCTGTGTTACCCGCTGCAGCCGATGACCTTGTTGTACAAGTAGGAGGGGAGGCCTCGGAGGTCCACGTTGTTGTCCACAAACACAAACTGCAGCTCTCGTGATCGGCCCAGATCTGAGAGACACACACACACACACACACATTAACATTGCCCTGCTCGCAGTCTCTACTATACTATGAAAACACCCAGATAAGGGGGAGGGGTTGGGGGCCCACTGACCGAGCGGTAGAAAGGTCAGCCGGTTGGCGGCCATGGAGAGCTGGTTGAGGCGGTGCAGCCAGCAGAGCTGCCGGGGAACATGGGCCAGCCGGTTGTGGTCGGCTGTCAGAGTCTGCAGCGAAGCGCAGCGGTGCAGCCGTTCCGGGAGGCCGATCAGCTGGTTCATCGACACGTCCAGGGTCTGCAGGTCCTGCAGATCGCCGATCTCTGAAGGCGGGACATGATTAACGGGAAATAATGCAATCAACAGCCTACGAAACGATTTTTTTTTATGTGGTCTGACCACAACGCTGGCCCCTTAAAACGCTGGATATTTTATCTAGAAACTATCTCAATATATTTCTCTTCCCTGTGGTACTTTTTGCAGATCGCGCAGTAGGAGAGAGGATTCGGTAACAAGGGGATAGTTTGAATAGAACGATCTGCAGTGTGTGTTCACATACTTGTACGGACAGACTCAAAAACAGTGCTCATAGTGAAAACCCCAAAAAATCCCAGCGTAAGATTTAAACATCAAGTGGAACATGAATTGTTTTTGTTCATCCTCCAGAATCAAATATAAAATCAAAATGAAGCATAATTATCTGGACAAACATGAGCATTAAAGACACAATGTCCATATTATCACTGTCGACGAGGACAACAATGCTGCTTTCCATTTCATTTTGGTTGAGAAGTTCTGTTGCCCTCTGCTGGCAAGTTAAATACTTAAAAATGACCAAACAGTCTGCCTTATATAAGTAAATATCCTCGCAGTAGGAAAGGTTACAAGGAACATGTCTTGACTTTATACTGTGAATGAAGTATAAATGTGTTGATTATAATATTATATATATAGAATTGAGATTTATCATGTATTTTATGTAATAAAAAAAAACTTTTATCAACTGCAAGTTTTAGCTGATGTTTTGTTCATTTTTTCATTAAAAAAAAATAAAAACTCATTCGTTTCAATTGACAAAGTACACCTGACTTTGCAGTCAAAGAAGAGCAGGAGGAAGACAGCGGCTGTGCTTCACCTGGAGGAAGGCATTTCAGATGATTATTGGACAGTCTGAGGTGCCGCAGAGACCTCAGTCGGCCGATCTCTGGACAGAGGAACTGGAGGGCGTTGTTGCTCAGGTCCAATGACTGCAGTCTGGCCAGGTTTCCAATAGCTGGGGATCAAAACCACATTAGTTGCCCTCAATATGGAGAAACATCTAACTTGACATGACAGGATTCCTCCAGTTTAAATTCTTCTGCATCCAGTTTTGTTGAAGGTGTTCCTAATGTCATAAGATCATATCATATATGACATGTAAGGTAATAATATCAGTATCAACAAATGAATGAGATCTTTAAATTATTTAAACAGCCCCAGTATCTCATCTTTTTATGGTCGTTGAGGGTTTACTTGTGTCGGTCCGCAAGTTCAACATTTATACACAAATAATTTAACGACATTGTCTTTGGCCTTAAGAACTTAATTAAGCCAGGAAATCAAATGCTGTTGATTTAAAGCCAAGTGACAAATTAATCAGTGTAGACGCCGGTAAATGAAAACTCAATAACAAAGGATTTACCTTCAGGAATGATCATTATGTTGTTTGAGTGCAAATACCTAAAATGAAGAAAAAAATACAAGAATTTGAATAGACAAAACTATTAAAAGACTCATTTGATGTTCCCAACAGCATGAGGCCTTTTCCTTTTATGTCAATAAAGTGCAGGAGCCTTTTAGCCACGTGTGTAAGTGTAATAGTCCATCAGAGATAGAGTTTAGGAATGTAGCCTCATTCTTTGCAAATTACAAAGATTACAAAACATTTTCTCTGTTCAAAGTTCACCAGCCACCTTTCCTATTACACCAGGCGATATGTCACATAACGCGTTCTTTCAGGCACCCGTTTCCGTCAAATAACAAACGTTGTGATTACTCTTACTAAAAGAAAACCAAAGTGTTGCTGAATACTCACAGTTCAATTAGATTTGGGAGCTTTTGAGCAAGATTGTCGGGCTGATGAGAGAGAGGAAGCACAAATAATTAGCGAGCTCCACAGGAAGTGAACCTGTATTAATGCTGTGCTGAACCAGCAGCTTCTAAACATCTGGAGAGCAGTCATTGTGCACGGCACGGGAGTACCAGCGTCCTGAGCGAGTTCCTCTTCATGTACAGTCGCTCCAGAAACTGCAGGCCTTCATCCTTCAGCAGCTCCACGGGGAAATTATTCAGGTTTCTGTAGTTCAGGAACAAGTTTTTGTGGCGCTCCTGTTTGGCCATGAAAATCGCTTCGTGGAGTTCGGTTGCCATTTCTGATGAAAGCTCTCTCCTGCCCCGGCTGGAGGAGACTCGGCCGTGGCTCCTTTCCTTAAGGCATCGCTGCTTCCTTAGTGAAAGGCACAAGGACACAGACATCTAGAGACAGCAGCATCTCTGACAGCTGCAGCTGAGAACTAGAACACCAGTATGATACAGCATTAAATAAGTGTGTTGCAAACCATGTTTCGATAGGTTAAGTTAAGTTATATGCCCTTAGCAGCATGTGTAACTCTAGTGAGTAGTGCACATAGTGTCGAGCAGAGACTAATTCTAATTCTGTATGAGGCAATGGCTGCTAAACGGCCCACAAATGATCGCCAGTAACAAGTCAAGTTTCGCGGCGGCTCGGTGGAGGCTGCTGGACAAGCGCAACAAACTGCAAAAAAAGGAACATTTCTGCGTGTAGCTGATGTTGTGCCGACGTGGGCCAACTTTCAATGAGCCCACCGCTGTTTAACGTTATATCCGTCTGGTGGCTAAGTAGCTGCTACCCGCACGATAGTGTTGACAACAACAGGCCGAACAGAGAGCAGTTATTTACCTTAATTGTGCGGGACTTTTTTCTATCCTACTTTAGTTTCCACATATGAACATGACACAGCACTGATGCTGCATGTATGTTTGTGAGTTGGCGAAGCGAGGGGCTGCTGAACAGCAACAGCCGCGCTCCGTCAGGACGTAAACACCGCGAGACGTCAGGACGTAAATACCGCGAGACGTCAGGACGTAAATACAGCGAGACGTAAGGAAGTAAATACAGCGAGACGTCACGACGTAAAGATAGCGAGACGTCAGGACGTAAAAACAGCAAGACGTCAGGACGTAAATACCGCGAGACGTCAGGACGTAAATACCGCGAGACGTCAGGACGTAAATACCGCGAGACGTCAGGTCGTAAATACAGCGGGACGTAAGGACGTAAATACAGCGAGACGTCACGACGTAAAGATAGCGAGACGTCAGGACGTAAAAACAGCGAAACGTAAGGACGCAAATACAGCAAGACGTCACGACGTAAAGATAGCGAGACGTAAGGACGTAAATACAGCGAGACGTAAGGACGTAAAGACAGCGAGACGTCAGGACGTAAATACAGCGAGACGTCACGACGTAAAGACAGCGAGACGTCAGGACGTAAATACCGCGAGACGTAAGGACGTAAAGACAGCGAGACGTCAAGACGTAAATACCGCGAGACGTAAGGACGTAAATACAGCGAGACGTCAGGACGTAAATAAAGCGAGACGACAGGACGTAAACGCGATGTTGCTGCCGTCGCCTGCTGCTCCACCGTTTATTTGCATTGTCAATGATTCATCCCTAAAGTACTGGTGTTAATATTTACTCAATGAGTGAAATGCCAGAGGTAGTTTTTAAAATGTACTGCTTCATGTCTGAGCTACATTAGACTTCAGAGAGAAACAACTGGACATGTATTACATGACAGCTAGAGTTGCGGTTCCTTTGCAGGCTGAGTTTAAGGATTTTTTAATACTTCAAGCTTTATACAAAAAAACGTTAGTTATTTTGTTATTCTGCAGAGTAAGTACTAACTGCACACATTGTATTAGGGGCATTTCTCTCTATGGACTAGATATCCTACTGTACTCCTCTTTAGTAGCCACAAACAGCCCTACATCCGTACACACTACTTACACCCCAAACCAAAAGGGTCTCAAACAGCTACACACATTTGATTTTATTAGGAATTTAACTTGTAATACACTAAAATATAACTAAAAAAAGGCAATAAAAAATCCCACTTCTACCCAATTTAAGAAAATACATTTAAGTTCCTTGAGTTAGATGTTAACCCCCCAAACCAGAAGTTAAAAGAAAGATAAAATCAAATAATAATTTGTTATCTTAAAGTGTTAGTTAAAAAAGCAACGTCTTAGCGTCGTCACTTCCTTGTGTCATGAGCAGATCCGTGTAATGTGGATCGGTTGATCCCTTTTCCAGATATATGTGGAGAACAACCGATTGACTGCTTCGTCGTCCCGTCTGGCAGCAGGAGCACAAACAAATCCACGCTTCCAAAAAAGGACCAGCAGTGAAACAGTTTGCATACATTTTTATTCATCTTAAATCTTGTGTAGAAAAAACAAAAAAACTCCTTTCTTTCAGCCAATTGTTTCCCACCATTACTCACAATATATCGATGACAGGAAAAATAGGAAATACAACCTTATTACAGCATGTACAAAAGAAAATCCCAATGTTAAACTTCAATCCGAACAGATCATTTCAATAGAAACACACAGGAGCTGGAAGGCTGTGAATATCTTATGCACATCAACATTTTGGTAAGAATTGGCCGGAAACACAAAGAGGACGTAATCATCAACTCCTCTCATTAACGATTAGATTGTATAATTATTAGATTAGAAACAAACAGCTTCCGATTGAACATTTAAAACAGTTGAACGCGGGGTACAGATTGTTGTGTTGAGTGTAAACCTTTCCTAACTAGAAAGCAGTTTATGGGCACTTGTCACTGACAGTAAGTCAGGAAGTGTTTAAGTCAACATGAAGTCATCAATCTGAAAACATTGAGGAATAATTGTCGACCTGCTGCCCCATGTGTCATCAGAGATGTAGTAGAGCGTCTTTTAGTTCCAACCAGAGAGTAATTATTTCGTAACTCACTCCCTGCTTCAAAACACTGCATTTTCCCTTCTAAAGATCAAAGTTTATTCATGTGTGGACCTTAAAAGAGCGTTTCCGTTCCCAGCTGACACCCTGCGGGTCCCAGTTTGTGCCTCTGGTGCATCAAACATCACTTGGGAGTCACAGAGAGGAGGATTGTAGTGTTTTGGAAACGGCATTAACTAAAGTCCAGCCACACGTAAACCGGTTTGTTTTCCCAGAATCCTAAAAGATTCTTCTAAACATTCCTGATCAAATAAATTGTTTTACTATCGGTTACATTTGTTTTCATTATGTTATTTGTATAATTCTGTTAAAAAAAATGATTTTTTTTTTTGTAAAACAAAAGATTTTTACCTGCCTGGATGAGAAAATACAATTCCAATTTGGAGAAAGACTCTTTTCTATTGTGCGACAGAGAGAATTTGTTTCTTTACCATCTGTAAGAAGCCTTTGTGGAATCTGTAAATACGTTGAGAACAGCAGCGAGGGTCATCGAATGACCAGGTGGAGGATTACTCTGCATTACATAGAAACGATGCAGAGCAACGTGAGGCAGAAACTAGGGCTCAGTAACGCGTTGTGACCGTGTTAACAGCACTCAGTGGTCACAGAGGAGAGGTCAGGCTTTTCTGTACATGACAATAGATTGAAAAAAAAAAAAGGAAAAAAGTGAGGTAGATGGATGGTGTAAATATTAAACAAAACATTCCCCCCGAAAGAGCAAGAATGTTTAGGAGGTGGTTGGGGGCGTGGGGGGGTTCAGTGATTTACATTTAACAAGGAAGAAACATAAACAGCATCTGGGTTGAGAGTCCAAACTTTATTCCTCATCGTACTCGCCTTGTTGGGAGTGTGGGCGGATTCTTCAGTAAACCTCCACGAAGCCGTCTGATTGTGACCCGGTTCGTTCTGTGAGCGGGTCAAACGCTGCTGGGTCTACATTTAGCAATTTGATCGAAGACGAATTGAGGAGGAGAGAAGAACCTCGTGACCATTTGTGGTATTCAACGGGTTATCGGTTAGGAAAAAAACAATGTTAGGGCTGTAAAATAATTCCACTGATTCCACAAACCAATTTAACTTGGTCTATGAATGAATGTATGAGGGAGAAAAAAATAAGGAGAGGACGACTCAGAAAACCCTCGTTGATCTCAGAGAAGTTGATGGGCACAAATTGTGCAACAGACTATTTTGCCTAAATAAAATAAGGCGTTACGGCTTCATTAAATGAATACTATTTTGCAATCATTTGTACTTTGAACTGCATTGAGTCGGAGCTGTATGAAGCCCTGAAACTGACAGAATGTGGTAAACGCATCATTAAATATTACTTAATACAACAATAAATAATATTGTTGGTTAAATAATCTAAACAAAAGTGAAAATTTAAATAAAGCTTTACGTCTCTTTTTTTCCTCCATCAATGACTTCTTTTATTTACCTAAAATATTTCTTAATTAATAAACTTAGAGAAACGAAAGAACATAATGCAGCTGCAGCTTAATTAACTAACATTTTATTATTTTGTCAGTGTTGGGGCTCTGCAAAAAAACAAAAAACCTTCTGCCTTCACACTGTCGTATGAAACGCTGCTCTGGACCAGTGATCAAGGAAAACAAATAACGCAGTGACACACACACACACACACACACACACACACACACACACACACACACAACAGAAAGGACGCAGAAAATATTTGACTTTTCTCCACGAACTGAGAGTTAGTTGAAACTCAGCAGTGATGCCTGACCTCGGACCTCTGACCTGCCAGCGGAGACCTTAGAGGACTCCCATCACTGGTTACCGTCGCTGTCCTCCCGTTGGGGGCAAGGGGGGAGGGGAGGGGGGGGTTACAGAACACGGCAGAGTGTTGCACCGTTACGCTAACACAAGACACCAAACCAGCTCAGATAAACTAACACTATTACAAGCATATTTATCAAAAAAGGGGACTGTAGTGGAAACGTTCGTATAGCCGACCAGTTGTTTTCCTTTCCATATATATATATATATATATATCTCAACTATATTACAACCACAAGGGAAATTAGGAATAGCAGCTTTATTTTGAACATGACAAACGTCTCCAACCGTAGAAAAGTTAGAAAAATGACAACTGGTGCGTAGATCAATGCTCGACCCAGGTAGAGATGCTGCAAATATTGGAGACTAATGACAAGTCTAAAAACCAATAGACAGTACGCCTTCAGAAGTCGACCAATTCGCAATTGAGAAACGTCATAGACCCCCCCCCTTTATCGATGTGCAACCGGGACTCAGTTTGAAATCAACTTTTGCGGCCACATCAATTTGATTGCAGTCGACTAGCTGTACGGCAACAGCGTGATGTCAGACTGCGGAGGGAGGGCATTAACGTGTAACAATAATGTAGCAGAAAAAAAGCACATTTCTTTATCGATTCGGAGGGAATGAAGATCTCAAAAAAGGAAAAAAATTAACTTTTTTGGCAACAAATTTGGCAGATTCTCCCCCTCAGGAGGCTGTCTGTTGACCCGGCACTACGCCGCCGCCGCTGCAGAGCAACGAGACCGCTGAACCCGACAAGTGCTTCTTCATTAGATATGCTTAACATTTCCGCAGTAGCGTTCGCTCAAAAGCGACCGCGGCACGCTGAGAAGGCCCACGCATCCGTTTTTTCGCAGCTGAAAATAGATGAAAAAAAAAAAAAAACTATTTATAAAAATAAAGTTCAGTCTCTCTCACCAATCATGTTCTTCGGGTTTTTTTTACTTTCGTTTTTGTTGGTCTTTCAGCTCTGCAGCAACGTCTGCCAGCTGGTAGGACACCAAAACTAGAGGAACATGAAGAGCTGCAGCACAACGTGCACTGAGCGACAGTTTTCTCCAACTTGTCTTCCCTCCTCTCAGAGTCGCCGCTCAGCATCACGCGCACACGGTTTTGCAGTATGTGATAAAAAAAAAAAGAAAAGAAACACAGAGAGAGCGAGAGAGACACCAGCGTCCTGGTTGGTGTCTTTGTCCAATCAGCAGGCAGAGGACTGCGGGAGCGGCATGGCGCGCTCGTTCTTACGCCCCCCGTTCATGTGGGTGTACGGCGGCAGCTCGTCCAATGAAGGCGGCGCCGCCCCCGCCGCCCCCGACAGCCCGTTGGCCGCCGGCTGGCCGGAGGGCTGCTTGTCTGTGGCGGCGCTCGACGTGCC